TTTTGCTGTGTGGTTCAACTTAGGATTTGTTTGTTCTTCACGATCAAGAAGAAGCAGAATGTAGGGACTTGGGTGAGTTTTGACATTGGAATGTTATAGGTGGCAGACTTGCCTCTGACAAATCCAGAAATTGCCGAGTCTTTCGGCTTTGTGCAATAAGCTTGATTTGCGGCTGACAAATCGGAGTTAACCGAGTCTTTCGGATCGAAGCGATCAAATCGAGATTTTTTCTGGTTATGATCTACCGAAAATACCCACATTCCCTCTTCTCCAGTCTTCCTCTATATTACGCGGGGAGTCCTAAGGTGCCTCCTCGGGTTTTTGGCCCTCTGGGGCCAAAAACCCTGCGGGGGCAACATTTATTATAGACACGTTTAGGGGCCGAATTTTGCGAAAAAATTGTTTTCACTTATTCTCCTGCTGAAACATTTGTTTGTAGTTTAGTGTAAAAAATAATCTAAAATCATAAAAATATTAGTGAGATATCGAGGAAAAACTGTTTTTCGAGAAAAGTTAATACATAGCTAAAAGTTGTTTTTTATCACATTTAGGACATTTAGGGTAAGCTACTCCTTTGCTTTTTCGCAATAAAGTTTATCAAAGAGACTCCAGTTACAATGATATGTATATTTTGTCGAAAGAGGTTTGACGACGAATAAAAAGACGTTTTAGAGATCCGAGTAAATTCATTGCCACGTTTTGTTTTGTTTGGGATCGCCGGTAGATCGAGTTGGCCGCTGGTTTCGCCTTTGGTTTCTCCTTCTTCTCTGCTTTTACGCTGCTTAGCACTTCTTTTTTTCCATTTTCGCTATTCCACTCTCAGGAACCTTTCTCTTGGATTACGACTTGGGATTTGACTGCATATAACACATCTCTCGCGAATTTCAAAAGGCTATTTCTAATTAGAATCTTAGGGGGTCCGAAGCTCGTGTTTTAGTAGGTGGTGGTTTGACCGCGATGTCTACTGGTGTGTAGATGTTACAGATTTTTGGTATTTCAATTGCAAATACTTCTCCTTTCGCCGCGTTAAATAGTGATTTTCTCGGCCACCGATAGGAATAATGAAAAAGCCTCGCACGCTTTCGTAGTGCACCAACTGCTGATTTCCACCGAGCAGTTTACTCTTTAAGGTAATCATTTCTCTTGATTCTACATTTTTAAGCTTTGCATCGATGTACATAGTTTTCAAGGCTTTCCTTTGGTTACATCATAAGCGACGTGCGTACGAACGATTTCCCTAACTCACCCCTGAAGGTCTACAGTAACTTAACATGGATAGTTTGGTGGATAAGGAAACATGTCGTTTCGTGTGACCTATACATGTGCTTTTCTATTATTATTTTGCGGCCCGTTTTTCGCGCACGAAAGAGTCATGACAAAGAATAGAGATGAAAGTATGGTCTCTACCGGATTTCAGGGATCATCGGACGAGAAATTCCTCGTGTATTATAACTGCAAAACCCAACCAACGTTAAATACCTTAGTCATTTGTTAGGTATCATTGCCGCATAAGCAGATGTTGTTGGTCTGAAAGATGTGGTGTAAGCGATGGGAAACAAAAAGGATACCAACTTGAAACCGAGATATGTATACACTGAGACAGGGGGTACATGTTTAATGATGAAATTAGGAATAGGAAATAAATAGTAGAGCTTAAATACAATATTCATGGTCTAAATACTCAACATGCATCTGAAATTTCCTCATTTGGTTCAATACCAAACTTTAGAACACCTTCTGTAATAGTTGCCCAAGGCATACGCTTGGTGGTAAAACCTCTCCCTACCTTGCCATGTTTATTGATTGCTATTGCTCCCCCCTGACCACCTACTTGCTCAAACATCTTCTCAAGTGCTTTAGTGCACGCAGAATCAGGGGGGTTACCCCCTTCCATGTTACACACCACTTCTCTTGCCAGCAAAGTTTTCATAATGGATTCTCCATGTCCTGTTGATGATACTGCACCCTCCTCGTTTGCATAACCTCCACAGCCAATCAGTGGACTGTCACCAACACGTCCAGGCATCTTGAGGGAAATTCCACCTGAAATTTATAAAGCTCAATTTGATTTTTGTTTTTTTCTTCCTGCTCTTGATTATTGCAAGTGCACTTTTAGTATTAGTGGCTCTGCATTTGAGGTTTAACTAAGTTCAGTTGAGGCTTCCTGTGTTTTGGCTTATGGGACCAAATTTTGTTCTCACAGGGTCAAATGAAGTGTACACTGGGCATTGTGGCCAATAAAATCCTCCTCTCCAATAAAATGGGTCACCACATGCACAAGGTGACACCAAACAAGCTGGCTATGCTTGTTAGCTACATGCCTGTTAGGCAGACATCCTGAACTCCATAACATAGAATTTGAAGTGATTTAAAAAGAAACAAATTCTTGTGCCTAAATGGGTATTATTTATAGCCATTCAGTTGTTGTTTGCTAGGAGAAATCTATAAAAAACTTGCAACACTTGTAAGGCCCCAGAATTGAACCCACTAAATTAAGCCATAACATTACTCATACCCACTGTTCCCTTTATTAGGCAGTAGCAGATGAAATTTACTTCTTGCAAAAGCATTTATTACTAACTGCAACCTCTAATAAAATTTGAAAATTCAAACAACTGGTGTCAAGAGTTTATGGGTTTGGAATCCTATTTTGCATTAACTTCTGGAAAGCTAAGAAGAACACTGGTCATGCCACCCACAACAATGTGCTACACTAAACATATAAGCCACCTACAATAAAAGCCAACATTTCTAACTTATTGGTGCTAAAGCTAACCTGTAGATGTTGCACATGCTAGTCGACCAGAGGAGTCCATAGCAACTGCACCAACAGTGTCATGTCCAGGATTAACAACAGTATCAGTATTGCATGTTTCTGTATTATAACCACTCAAAACAGCTTCATTGAAATTTTTGTTTCCTTCCAATTGTAGTCTTGATTCTTCGCTGATAAGTGCAAGAGGATCAGATAAAATTGGAAAATCTATTTTCTTTGCATACTTTAAAGCGCCATTGCCAACCAATAAAGAATGAGGAGTGTCTTCCATCACATGACGAGCTAGAGACACAGGATTTGCCACACCTGTTACTGCTGCAACAGCACCTGGAGAAGAAATTGCAAATTATCTTATCATCAAACCAAAGACCAAGTACAATCTAAGAATTTTAAGAAAAAGCACAAAACAGAGAGCTGAGAGAAAACCTCTTCTGCTACAAATCAGAGAGAACTGTAAAGCACTTTTATAGAAATATTTCACTGTTAATTCTATAACAAAAATCTCTAGAAAAGCAATCAATGACAATTTTTCTACTGTTGTATTCAAGTCAAAATGAATCCAGTACTCATATGTTGCAGTTTGGTACCAAATCTGGAAACATCTGCTCTATGGTAAAGTTTATCTAAATTTACCTGATTCTAAGGTCTGCCCATCCATGATCATGGCATCAACTTCAACAGTCAACTCCTCTGTGAGAACTGAGCCATGACCTGCATCAAAAGTTGGATCATCTTCCAGAATACGAACAGCTGCCTCCACCGTGTCAACAGCTGTTCCACCCTTGGTTAAAATGAATTCATTCATTATTGCTTACAATTGGACTATAAATAATTCCTCTCTTTCAGCTGCTATGTGTTTCTTTATCACTTACTTATAGATAAATAAATAATAGTCTATTTTTGTGCAAAAATATGCACAATATTTGTCTGTAACATCATCTGTTCCAAGATACAAACAGTTTTCTGAAAGTGAAGCTCAAAGAAATCTGTGAGCTTTAAGGATCAGATAATGTCCAAAGACAAATACATGAGCACATTTTTCACAAAATGGAGGCTATTGTGTTTATTATCTTTCATGTATTTTACAACATGCATAAAAAAAATTTTTACAAACTGCTTACTGTTTGCTGTGCAAAATATTTCCTTTCGAGTGTTCTCTAGCACAACTTTATGAACAAACAAATACTTAACTTCTTCTGTAACAACCATTTAACTCTCCCATCTCAAGTGGGGGTGGGAAAGGGAGGGTTATCTGTCAATTAGTTTTGGGAGTGAAAGGGTTTACTTTTTTGTTTTAAATGAGTCTGACTTGATACGTTCTAAAACAAGATTGATTGTGAGAACCTCCTGAAGAAAGGGTGATGGATAATGGCAAAATGTGACCTGTATTTATTATTGCAATCAATTCCATGATGTTTCTTACGCAGATCTCACCTTTAATAGGCACTCGTACCCTTTTTGTGCAGCTTTCTTGACCCCACGAACTGATGACTCTTTCCAGGCGTCTGGTATGGCCCAAGCCCCACCGTGCACTATAATACAGGGTCGCACACTTGTTGGCTCAGTCGCCTTTCTTTCCTCCATTGCTCGTTCGGCAAGAAGGAACGTATTACTCTCCACGATAGCGTCGGTTGACTCCAACTGCAACTTACCATGAGAGCCTATAGATTACGAATATTGCGTAGTTTGTAAAGCATATGAGGAAAATAACTCGTACAGCCCAAACTACGTCCAGACTGAAGCGCCACGGTGTGGCGTTACAAGTGCATTTCGACTCCAGGCCTCTTCACAAATTACCGTACGCGCGACAGCGGAAGGAAATACTCAATGAAGTAAAGAGACAGATCCAGTAAGATTTTTATCAAACTGATCTCGATTTCGACTCTTCAAGACATCCTTTCTGTAAGGTCGATATTACCACGTTTTCACATTTCATACGGTTATGCGAGTTTATCTTGTTCGGTGTAGTATTTTCGCTGGAACGTGAACTTGCATGTCA